ATAAACTGCGAGAGAACATACATACCATATATTCTTACCCATGCCGATCAAAATCTGACGCCCTGTCACTAGGTGACACTGGGCATTGCTTGGATTACACTTATTCTACAAAGCTTAGACAAGATGGCGGGTTTATCCTGGGGTGTTGATTCAGCGGTCCAGTTTTTACAAAAGACCCGTGTTGGATACTCTTTCTTCTTCTTCTTCACATTGGAACGAAAATCGGATTGAACATGTCTACATTTGTGCGGGTGTCCTCCCAAGGAGGTGTCAATTTACACGTTTCTGGAGACAGTGTCATGTTGGACAGCTGGATGGGAGCCATTGATCCTACTGTACGGAGTAGTTTACAGGTAGTTCCATATTTTGCGCCAGCCGGTATTTCATCAGCGTTAGACAGTCCTCGCAATCATGTGCTCTGGTGGCGCGCGTCACGTCTTGAGAAAACAGGCAACTGTATCCGTTCATCATTGCAGCCCCGTATCTACAAATCAACGCCGTAAAGCCAAAATAGCTTTCCCCGTTGTTCCAAAGGCCACCTCGTCAAACTACCTAAGAGAGCCAAAAACACATAACAGCCAGGCTGTGATTTACATTCCCTTCTGTTCTTGGGCTCTTTTGCTCGTGCTGGCCTCCCCCGCCCTCTCTATCCTGTGAGAATATGTCGTCGAATTTTTTTTTTGCCATTTTTGTTTCTTCGTACCTTAGGGATCTATTTCCTCTTTGAAAATGACTTGCCTACTTTCTGCATTTTTGACGGCGGAGCGGCTTCGACGTCACTTTCTTCCTCCTCGCCCATTGAATCGTCTACATCCTCATGGTCAACTTCATCCTCGTCCAATGACTCTTCGGCGACTTCGCTGTCGTCGTCCTCTGCAACGTCCGAGTCCTCCTCTTCGTCTTCTGAGTCTCCGACTCCGTTGGTCATGGGCAAGTCTTCGTTATCTTGGTCTTGCTCGTCGTCGTCGTCGCCGTCGTCACGTCTTCTCCTTGACCTGGCGCCGTTGGCGAGGTCTTTTTTGCTGACCGGGTTCATTTCGCCCTCAACCCAGACGGCGTCTTCCTCCCCATCATCGGCGTCCTCGCCCTGCTGTAGTAGACCTGTGCTTCGCTGCATTTTGCGTCGGAGATCCATTTGTAAGTCGAGCATGTCGAGCTTGCCTTTGAGAGCCAAGAGACTGTTGAGCCCCTTGGCGCGTTCCGCCAATACCTTTTGTAGGCCGTTCAAGCTGTGGACGACATCGGGCTGTGATGCGAGCGCGCCGCCGTGTGAGATGAGTGTCCACTGGACCCAAGTCATGAGGTTGCCCGCACGGCCGGGTCGGCGATACAGGCGGGCGGCGAGCTTGTTGAGCAGGATGCCGGCCAGGGAGCTGTCTATCCGCTCGATCGTGTTTCGAACAGTGGTGATGTCGGTTGTATGCAGGCAGGATTCGAGGAGATCGGTGTCGTCTGTGTTGAGCGCTTGTGTCAAGACAGTCGTGAGCGACTGGTGAGAAGGCGGCACAATGACTGTCCGTGCGGGCTGCGCTGTCCTGCTACCTGACAAGGATTGCTGGAGTAAGGCTGGGACGTCGATAGCATCGTTGCCTCGTAACAGTTCTCCAAATGACGGTGATGTCTCCTCCTCCTCGTCAGAGCCGGAAGGCTCTGCGTGGTCGTTTGCTTTTGGGTCCGTGCCGTTAACCTTGGCCACGGCGGCGGCTGCTTTCGGGACAGCCTCGCCGCCATTGGTGTGTTCTTCCTCTGCATTATCCTCCAGATCGGAAATATCCTCATCGCTATCAGGATCGGAGGAGATCTCAATAGCCTCCATCTGCGAACCTTGCAAGGCATCGGCTGTGGCCACGGATGTTCGAGATTCGTCAATGGTGGTCTTTGTAGGGATTTTTGCGCTGGGTTTGACAACCGGCGCCGCCAGCTTGGCCGGCACTTTTCGTTTCATCGACATGGGCATTGAAAAAACGTATGTAGAAGGCCGTAATTTGTATTAAGTGCGTGGTGATGCGGTGTGTCTCGTGTTTAGATGGAGAGAGAGTCGAGTGGGGAGGAAAGAATACATCAAGAGATGAAATGCCAAATCATGCGGATGCACCAGGTCCCAATAGCAGAATTTATCAAGGAGAATGGGAGAATGGAGTAGTGGGAGGCAATGCAATGATTGATTTGCCTGTGTGGGAGTGAGGCCGGCAACGATCAATATCAAGCACCAGCAGCAGGAGAAATACCCAGACTTGGTTGCAAAATTTCACGGTCTGCAACTCTGGACGGGCGAACTTTTTTTTGGGCTCGACGTCTGCTGGTGGTTGTCTCCACAATCGAAGGTACGGTCCTGAACGATAAGGGATGGCATAAGCAAACCAAATCGATAAGATAGCTGGGTCACATGGTGATTAGATAGAGCTACGGACTTCATGCCTCCTGAAGTTTTTTGGATGACTCATTCAAATCTTCACTTGGCCGCAAACACTCGTGTGACTTGTGCCCATCCGTAGAGTAGGGGCCCCCCAAAGGGCCGAGGGACAGGGCAGGCTGGGGCTACCTTCTTGGCCCCCCTGCTTGCGAACACTTCATTATTGGTCAGTCTCCCACTGCACACTCAGGCCTAGTCCAGTGCTAGTTCGGAGGAAGGCAACACGATGATTGGCTGCATGCGTGGAATTAGACCCAGTCGTCGAAAATGAGGTCATGCACAGGGCGCCATCTGGCGCGTGGTGTCATTGGCTGCCACCGGGGCAAGTAGGATCTGGCCACAAAATTTTTCACTCACCACAGGCCTACCCTACATGCCAGGCCCATTTGCGGTGTCCACTTCACTCTGGCCACAGGGCAGACGGCCGTGCAAGATGATGCGCCACAGGCTGATTGGACTTTGCCCCGGTTGAACGATGATTCTTGGTAGGCCAATATCCCCTTTAAGTGCATTTATAGCTCCGATAGCATACGTGTAAGTCGTTTAGGTGGGAAACGTGGAATGTGGGCCTATTGTTTTGATGAAATCATGGGCAATCGGATTTGCGACTGGCAACCTGTGGACTTGTATATTTTACAAGGATATCTGAATTGCGCTGGATGTCGTCAGTAAACCACGGCTCAACTCATGCAAGGGGTTAAAGTTCAACAGCTTCAATCTAACAATTCGCGTGAAAAGCTGACCAGCCCACTCGAGGTACGCAGTCAATCAATTATAAGTAGTGGCCGCGATTCTGCAGCTAGATAATTTCACTGTTTGGTCCAAGCTGTGACAGATACGTATTTGTTCACATTGGCCGTGGTCTAGTCATGTACACAGTCATGCCAGTTGGTATAAGGTTATGTCTAGGAGACTCAGCGTATCCTTATCTTACTAGCAGCATTCTAAGAAGCATGGCACGCGAGCGTAGTCGTCATAGTCGGGTTTTCGGACACTGACATTTACCACCGGGCATATGCCAACACACAACTCAAACATCAGCGAAACACCCTTTGCCGGCACTTGCTGGTTTTCCGAGTGTGCGCGCCCGGCGTCGGTCGAAGCCAGCCTCAAGCAAGCAGAAAGCCAACAAGACAATTCACCGCGTCGATTCGCGGGGGAAGGCCGACTATTTAAATGTCTGCGCAGACCCTCCTCGGGCTTTTCATGTCCCCTTCCCTTGGTCTGCCAAACGCCGACAGTCCAATGAATGGGCTCCTCTGATAACCATAACTTACATTCGGTGTAGATAGACGCTCTTGCAACCCCACACCCGTTACCTTTGCCCTGTTGATGTCAATGTCTGGTCATCGTGCCTTGGTCATGCACGACCTGTCGATGACAAAGTATTTTTACCCACGGAAGAAGCTCCTTCATTCTCTCCCTCACCCGCGCAGGAAGAGGACTAGCGCCTTTTCCCAATCGGGCCTCAGACAGCCCACCAGGTGGCCGGGCTGTGGCGCAAGTGGCTGGAGTTCACCCCCCGAGGTGAATTTTTCCCCCCAGCCTTTTCCCGGCGCCCCGATAGTCACAAGTCAACGTCGCGGCGGACTTTGCCTTTCTCCCTCATAAATACCTTCACGCCTCCGACCGGCAAAATTCAACTGACGTGCACGCGCTTTTCCTCGCAGACGCCCCCGTTTCGCCCCCTCCGGCCACCGCGACCCGCTGCACCTGAAAAGGATCCTCCGAGGTACTTCCCGAACGACCACTTTTCCCCGCAAGCGCTCCCCTTTTCACAGAGCGGAGCCGGTACCGCTTGCGTACCGCTCTGGTACCGTTTCCCACCTCTGCTCTCCCAGCTCCAGCCGTGGTGTGTAGCAACTGCACGCACCGAACTCGAGCAACACACCGACCGCATACCACCCACCGCATACGGCGCAGCTCGCAGCTCGCAGCTCACGGCTCAGTCGCGACCAACCACCGCCACCTGCCTTCCGTTTCGCTCCCTCGTAAAATAGAAATATTCTGGGGTCGTATTTCATTTGCCCTTTTTGATCTGTTTTATTTCCCTTTTGGCTTGTCGACAATCCTCGCTTGCTTGTCGCAGCTTTCGCCGCTACTTTCTGCTTTCTGATCGCGCCCGTCGCCCGCGCTGCACCCGCATCGTCGCGACCCTCGCAAACGCCATTGTTGTTTGCGCCGCGCGTGTTGCCAACCGTCAACGGCTGTCAACGCTGTCAACTGTGCGTACGCCAATCCAAGCTGCGCCGCTGTATCTGTTGCTGCCGTCACCCGTTTGTTTATTTCAATCAACTTTGGTATTGCATCGCAACTCTGGTGCCAGCTGCAATACTCGCTAAACATTCCTCGCCCTCAGCCGGCCCTCATCGCCACCGAAGCTCCTAGCCACTTGGAGCCATCGCAAAAGGCCTGCGCAGCTATATATAAAGGCGCATCGCGACCCCAATACTTGGGTCTGTCGCGCCCCTTGTTGTCGACGCCCTTTCTGGCGCAGAACTCGTGCTATTGCTCTACATCCCGTTGCCGCGACCATACATTCTGGACTGAGCAGCCCTATCGTGCGCAGTCATTGCGGATGACGACCATGGAATCGTCTGGCCCGGACACTCCTGTGCTAGACCCGAAACCTCACGACATTGTGCCTGAGAAGCAGCAAAATGAACAAAAGTCGGAGCTGAATGGGTAAGTCACCCCTTGGTCCACCTCGATCCTTCGATTCTTTGCATCGTGCTTGGTTCATTACCCTCAGTGGCTGACAAGTTTTCCAATGAAGCCATGCCGACGACAGTGCGCCACAATCGGAACCCCAGTCAGAGCCCAGAGCCGTGTCACCACGTGAACAGGCTGATAAATCACTACCTAATGGCAACAGCCCTCCAACTCAGGAGACAAAAACAACCGAGCCTGCCAAGACTTCGCAACTGGCAGACGAGCCGACCCTAAGAAGTGATTCAGAGCCGAAGCCCGTTTCTGAGGCTCCTGGAACACTGGAGAGCCAGGAGGGCCTGGCTACCGAATCAAAGGAGCCAGAGAAACCACCGCCGGCGTTAGACGAAGAGGAGAAGAAATCGACCGAACCATCTGATACCATAAAGCCCGAACAAAGTGTTGTTGCTGTCCCGGCAGTCGAGGAATCTGATGTTAAGCCTCCCGCAGAGGAATCTGCCAAAAAGCTGGCATCAGACACTGCGCAAGACACAGAGATGACCGACGTACCTAGCGAGAAGGTTGACAAAACTGTCGAGCCATCAGCTTCCGGTGAGGCCACAGTTACTTCGCAGGATGCCACCGCTTTGCCGACTTCCCAGGTAGACCTTGGCCCAAGCAGCAAGTCGCAGCTGGCTATTGATACTGCTGAGAAAGCCATTTCGCCTACTGAGCCCACCGGCGACTTGCCTATGCACGATGCCCCTGGTGTCAAAATTGCTCGTGAGAGGGAGGATGATGCCAGCGAGGAGCCCGCACCCAAGAGAGCCAGGACTGAGCCAGAGGAAGACGAGGCCGCTCCCGTGCCCTCTACGACTGATGTCCCTTCAGATGCTCAGGCTGAGGTGGTTGTTTCTGGTACTGAGTCCCCCGGTCTTGCGCCCACTGCCCTGAACAAGCTGTCAAACTGGCTGGACGAGGAAACCAACAAGCGAGAGATTTCTCATTTTCAGCGCCGTGAAATGCGAAAGGTTATTGGACGTGTCAAGAAGACCAAGGCTGGTGGTCACTTTAGAGATTCCGTACAGAAACTGTGGCCGGCTCTGTGGGATAGCTATGTCGCCAAGGTCGATCGGCCCATGGACCTCGCGGAACTGGAAAGGGGACTGCGAGATTTGAACGGCCCGTACAGCACCTATGGTAAATTTCGATCCGACTTAAGATTGATTTTTGACAATGCATTGCTATTCAATGGTCCGCATCACGATATCACTGCGTCGGCTGTCACGGCTGTCAGGGCTGTTTGGGAAGAGGTGCTTCCCATACCTTCCGAAGAACCAGCAAAGCCAAAAGCTGTACCCAAGGCTAAACCCATTCGCGAATCCCGTACCGTAGCCAATGCCGACGCGGCCCGCCGACAATCCGCAGGACCTACTGTTAGCCCGGTCGCAGAGACACCTGCAAACAAACCCGCAGTGGTTGCTACGCAAGATCATTCTGCAGATCGTCGTAGCTCAACCGCGACAGAAGGTGATAGGCCAAAGCGGACAGTGCGTGCTCCAAAGCCCAAAGATATCGACTACACAACCAAGCCGTCCCGCAAGAAGCTGAAGCCTGAACTCCAATTCGCTGAGGAAGTTCTTGCCGAGATAATGTCCGGAAAGAATCACCAGTTGAATGCCTGGTTCATGGATCCTGTAGATGCAGAAGGACTTAACATTCCTGATTACTATTCCGTCATCAAAAAGCCCATGGATCTCAACAAAGCGTCGCGTATGCTCTCTGGAGGTGAAATCTCGAATTTGAAAGAGTTTGATAAGACTGTCAGGCTTATTTTTGACAACTGCTACAAATTCAATGGACCTGTTGAGCAAGGTAACCCAGTGTCTGCTATTGCCAAACAACTGGAAGAACTCTACGTTGCACAGATGAAGGGCAAGGATGCTTGGCTAGCAAAATATGCCAAGGCCAATGCTCCTGCCTCTGCGTCCAACGCTAGTGACGACGACGAAGAGGATGAAGAGGAGGATGGCGAGGACGCTGTTGATGCTCCTGTCGACACTCGGGCCGTCGAAGAACTTCAAGCTAAGCTTGAGGAAGAAACGAAGAAGCTCAATAGCATGTTCCTTACGGCAAACCAAAGCATGATTGATGTTCAAAAGAATATTGTCGAGATGATCCAGAAGACATTGATTGAGAAAGCTCGGGAAATCCAGTTGGCGCGTACCAAAGCCAAGAATGACAAGCCGAAGAAAGCGGGCAAGCCCGCCAAGTCAAAGACCGCGGGCTCTGGTGGCAAAAAGTCCACTGGCGGAGTCGCTCAGTCCAAGAAGGCTGGAGGCTCGAAAAAGGCTGCCCCCAAGAAGAGTCTCACCGCGGCAGATAAGGACCAAATTGCAAATGCTATTAATGATTTGGATGGGCCTCATCTTGACCGGGCAATCGACATTATTAAGCGTGATACTGGCCAAAATGTAAGTTATGGACGTGTACCATGTCGGGACCAGTCGCATGGTTGATGGGCGTGTGTGAGCGTGATTGCTAACGGCACCATTAGGAGAACAATGATGGCGAGCTTGAACTTGACATCGATCAGTTGAGCAGCGACGCTCTTCTGAAACTCTGGGAACTTTGCAAAAAAGCTCTTCCCAACTTTGCCAAAGACTCAGTGCCTGTCGCATCAACAGAGGTCAATCGACCTCCTGCCAAACAGGCTGCCACTGCAAGCAAATCAGCAGGAGGAAAATCCAAGAAGAATAAACCCATGAGCGCACAAGAACAAGAGGCACGTATTGCGCAGCTGAAGGAACTCCGCGGATTGTACAAGGATGGCCAGGAGCCTGGTGACGAAACCAGGGTGGCGCAACTGACACATGGAGCGGAAACCAGTGACGATTCCGACTCAGAGGAAGAATAGGCTCTGCTATCAATTGCGGGCTGTTGATCACGAATAAATGAGGTTATTGGATGGTGTCGGCGTTGGAATCGATTCTGAAACTGCACTCTTTGCTTTGCTATAGTGCAAAGTATCAGGACATGAGATGTTGTCTCTAATATGGGGCAGCACCGACTGACCTTGGGCGGCTTATGAAGTCGTTGCAGTCTTTCCTTTTTTTTGGCCATATGGTCTTCTTTTTGGGGGAACAGGGTTCGGGCTCATTGCATAGAATGGAGCCGACAGGGGTTTTCATGCGATTTGGCTTCCGTTCAGAGGGTCTTGCTGGAGGAGACGACAAATGGCTGCGGATGAGGGGTCAGCAAGTATTTGCCTTATTTATTCCCGCCCCCTTTTTGCTCTGATGGAGGGCGTTGGGCGTTTCGACGATGATATCGGCTCGGGGGTTCCTGAATGATTGGTATTTGCCTGAAATAAAACGAAGGGGCTAGCAGTTGGCGCCTCGAGGCTCCATTGCTATATTGTAGGATGGCGATAGTGTATAATAGTTGTGAGTGCTTGTGTCGAGTAAATAGATCCGGTACCGCATCATCTGCGACATTGCCTCCCAAGTGACTGCCATGACCTAGGAGATCACACACATAGCGGTCAACAACGCCCAAGGTCGGCTGACATACGCCTGTAGTGATGATGGGCAGTTTGCGTGGCATCAAGGCCAATCAATATGCATGTTTGCTGCAAAGCGTCGTGTCGTGCAAGCTTTGCCGTGGCCGCGATTTGTCCGATGCCGACAAATTCCATGAAGAACCCGATCCTTGGGAGGGAGCCCAGTGGCAGCAGCGTGGGCTGCCAGCTGCAGGTTTCGAGAAAAACGCCGGCATTCCGGCGGCAATGTTGTTGTTGATGGTGTATGAAGGCATCGTAACAGAAGGATGGATACGACACACGACGCAGTGAAACAATGGCGCTGCAAAAGATGAGCTTCGTACAACTGAGGTGGTAGAGTAAGGAGAGATGGGAAGTTTAAAAAAGGGAAAAGAGAAAAGGGAGAGCTGAGAAAAGGGGAGTTCAAGGATGGCTGATGAGAACATGGAGCGATAGGGGGAAGACTTGGAGGAGCAGAGGATGAGAGGGCGTGGACGGCAGAGGAATGGGGACGGCCAGCAGCCAGCAGCGGTACCAGCATCGTTGGATGCAAGTGTCCAAGTGGACATCTGGAGGATGACTGTAATGCTGGCTTGCTCTTAGGTTCGTTAAGTTTGTGTGTACGTACCCCGGGGCTTGACAGAGCCATGGAACCCGACATAGCGTATGTACGCCGGCACTTGTCACTTACACGTCTGGTAGAGTCAGTCAATGTTGGAAGGAGTGCCGCCCCCAATGATTGGTCGTCGCATCAGTCGACTGAGGGTTGATAACACGCTACTAGTTGGACGCCTTGGGACGCCTTGCTGCGCATCGAGCGGACAAATACCGTGTCATTGCCCTGAATACGTACCTATTTACACTTTCGGGAATCGGAACATTCATGCTTATTTGCGCACCGCTGCATGTGGCCAAACTCTATCTCCTTGTTCTAATCTTCACTATCCACAGTCCGCGGCAAAATGTATTGCCCATTGACAAGTACACACTAATGCCATGTAGTATACTCCGTATTATTGTGGATACAGAGCGATAGCCATATGGCGAGACCACCCAGCCCCCTTCGTCCATGTGTGAAGTGACTCGCTCGGCTACTCATTATCGATCAGGCACAGTCGGTACGGGGAGTCTTCTCCTCAGACGATTGCATATTTCAACATAGTCCCTTTCCCCCTCGGGCGTAATCTCCCCATGCCTCACCAAGAAGTCAATCATGATGGGACAAACATTGGGCTTAAACTCGCCATTTAACATCCTGCGTCGCAGCTCTGCGCAGTCCATCAGCACAAACTCTTCTACCTCACCATCTTGAGGACTCGGCACCATATCCTCTTCCAGTTCCATGTCGTAGACGTAGAGAACCTCTGAGTGGTGCAGCTCCGTGCGTGGGTTGCGATTCGCCAGGGTGAGCACGCCCACGCTACGGACCAGTCTCGCAACGAGGTCCGCTGGCAGCGACGCTTCTTCCGTGGCCTCGGCGAGGATGCAGTCCAATGGCGAGTTGTCAGCCTTGACGCCGCCTGCCACTGTGCTATCCAGCATGCCGGGATATGTGAATAGCTTGGGGCTCCTTTTGGCAACCCATATCTTGAGACCGTCGGGGCCCCGGACGTAGCACGTCAAGTGGGCTCCGCGGGTAGCTATTCCGAACAAGGACGCGGCAAAGCGCTCTATTCGGACGAATTCTCTGGCGCCCATGAGGAGGAAGTGCTCGCTGTGCATGCCGTTGAGCATGGGGAACACGTTGCCGTCTATGGCGGCGTCTATGGCGGCCTGGAAGGCGGCATTGGCGTGGGCAGACAAGGAGAGCGAGGTGTCTGGTGAGGGAGGAGACAGAGTGACCCGGCGAGCGTCGTGGTTGATTGTGAATGACGCTGGCCACGGCATGGAGTTTACCGTCTTGGGATGAATGTAGCCATGGGTCCTGGGATCGGGAGCTAGGTGCAGGCGGTAATAAGGCGTGCAGTTGGCTTCGAAGTCAATGGGCACGCTGTAGTATGATTAGACGGTGCTTGGCGGCGGCTTTCGTTGTGCGAATCCACGCAAGTTTGTCGCGGAAATGACGCCAGCACTCACTTGTCAACGAGGGCGATGAGATGCAGCAATGAGGGTTGTTGTCGAGGAGACCCGTCCTGGGCAGCCGCAACGGCCATGGCGAGAAATGAATTGGCGAGAACAAGAACTGCAGCAAGGAGAGTTGTCACTTGGGTACACGTAGCGACAGGTTTTGGTGATCAGGGGCGCTTGAAGCTGCTGCTATTCCTAGTCGACGGAGCAAGGTGAGTGAGGTGAGAAACAAGGTGAGTTGAAGCGGCTATTGTGGAGTTGCTCGATGCCCCTCAACCAACCGCATTGAACCTCGAAGATGGCTCAGGAGAACAATGGAAGCCCACAAGAAGCCACGAAGTATCTACAGGCCTGGTTTATTACTACGGAGTAGCACTGCAGCTACTTGTTAGTCAGCTGTGTTCCCTGTCGCCTGTACAACGTGGGAAACGGCATCCCTTTGAGTGTGTTAAGGTCCAAGTGATGTATTGGACCCACGTTTCTGCGATACCTAACAGGTACTTCTTCAGTAATCATATCTGCCACGCTAGGAAGATGTAACTCTTTGTAAATTTAGATATAACTAGTACTTACACTATCACATTACTTCTTAGTGAGACTTTGTACCGTTTAACACGGTTTTTCTCATTGGCCAGAACCCCTGCCTGGTACGAAAAATGGACCTTAACACATTCAAAGGGATGGGCGAAATGGCTGCCGGGTCCGATACATGCATGCAATGCAGCCCCCCCTTTGCCGCGCCAGACCATGTCTTACCCCATACCCCAACACACCGAGGGGCCATGACGGCGCAAAACCGCAGCTTGCCAGGCACAAAGGGACGCCATTTCCTTTCCCACCATCCGTGGAATGATGGAATTGGATGGACGGGATGGACGGCCATGGAGGATCAAGAAACGGGATGGGCGGTGCAACATCTGGGGCCCGTGGCTCCTTGTCGAGCGGCCTATTCCGCCCCGCACCTGCTCTTTCCCACTCTAGAGCTTGTTTCACGGCCGCCACTTGCCGAGGCAATCATGGGCATGGCCAACCATCTCGGCGAGAACCATCTTGGCGGATTGGGGCAGGGAGTGGTGTTCCCGTCTCCGCCCTCTTCATTTTCCCCATCCTGAATGATTCTAAAGGCTTGTAGGTATTGAACAACTTACAAGTGTCCATCTTCATGTCAGTCGCGCCGGGGCACATGCGTCGTCGGCAACGTACCCAAGTTGTCATCTGTTCTCATCACGTCTAAAGCTTTGGACGGACATCCTAGGGCCTAATTGAGATATAGCCGCCAACATGGACCGACTCGATGACATCCTGAGGCGGTATACTGTCCAGGGAGAGGACACCAAAGACAGGCTTCTCGGTGCAGCATTCGTAGTGACGGACAAAGAAGGCAAGTTTCCAACCCACCGCCCTCTCAACACCAACAAAAGTCACCTCACCATCATGCCCATTCCACAAACCAAACACTGACAACCGTCTGCAGGGACCATCTACAGCGGCTCATCCGGCCGCCTCCATCTTGACCTTAAATCGCCCCTCTTCACAGAGAAGTCCTTCACATGGGTAGCCTCCCTCACCAAGCTCGCCACGACCATCTCCATCCTGCAGCTCGTCGAACGGGGTCAGCTCGACCTCGACGCCGACCTACGCCATCTCGTCCCGGAGCTCCAGGACGCCAGCATCCTCCGTGAGTTTGACGAGAGTGACAACCCCGTCATCGAGGCCAACACCAAGCCCATCACCATGAGGCAGCTGCTCACCCACACATCCGGCTTCAGCTACGAGTTCTCCGACCCGGTCCTACTCCAGTGGTCGCGCACCCAGCCCAACCGCAACGTCTCGCGCCTTCAGTGGTCCAAGCTAGAAGTCACCACGCCGCTGCGATTCACCCCCGGCGAGAGCTGGGGATACGGCGTCGGACTGGACTGGGCTGGCCAGGTCCTCGAGGCCCTCACTGGCAAATCCCTCGGCCAGTACATGCAGGAGAACATCCTCGATCCCGTCGGTCTCAACGACACGGGCTTCTGGCCCGAGAGGATCCCACACACGGCGCCCAGGACCGCGCAAAACGTCCAGCGCACAAAGGACGGGAAGCTCGCTGCCGCGTACTGGCCCACCCCCGAGAAGCACGAGATTGAGTCCGGCGGCGGCGGGTGGTTCACGACGGCCAGCGACTACGCGCTGTTCCTCCGGGCGTTTCTGGCGGGGAGGCTGGTCTCGGAGGAGACGATGAGGGAGATGTTCAAGCCGCAGCTGAACGAGGCGCAGGCCGAGTATCTGAGGACGATTGCTTTCCACCCCATGGTTCACAATACGTTTGCGCCCGAGTTTAAGCCCGGCACGAATATTGACCATGGCCTGGGGGGCATGCTGAATGTTGAGGATGTACCAGGCAAGAGGAAGGCGGGAAGTATCGCGTGGAGCGGGATTCTCAACAGTCGATGGGTGGGTTATTCCCTTTTTTTTTTATTTTTTTTTATTTGGCCTTGTCAAAACCCGTTTGTCAAAATCATTCCATGTATGGGTGTACATCTCGGAAAGCTAACAGTCTCTTGTTCGTTCTCTGCAGTGGGTTGACCCGAAGACGGGCATTGCAGGCGTTCTTATTGTCAATGTTCGGCCCAACGGCGACCCTGTTGTGGCCAAGTTGTATGATGAGCTGGAGCTTGCTGTATACGGCCAGCTTTTGGGACAGGCTGCTGTCCAGAGTCGTATTTAAGGTCGGTGATATGGAGACTCGGCCAGAGTACATGTACACCCATTGTATATATCCAGAGCGTACGACATTATGTTTCGTTTCATTCTCCTTTATCCTCCAGAAGCCGGTCCAATTTTCTCGCTTCACGATGCCCCTCCCTCCTTCCTCGACCCTGTTTTAAATTCTATCCCAATTGTCTAGTCTTACACCCTGTCCCGCGATCCCAAAAAAGCCGTCACTTAATATTCATCGTCGAATATATCATCTCCACTCATCGACTCCAAGACGCCCTCGAGCACCTTCCTACACCTCTCTCTGTAATCAAGGGCCAGCCTCTGATTGCGGTTCAAGTCGGCCTCTTGGCCGCCCACGGCCTCCACATCCGTCTCGTTGAGCCTCTCCAGCTCCTGCAGCACCTTGTGCTGGATAATGGCAACCGTCTGTTGCAGGTACATCCTCGCCTCGCCCTCCACCTTGCCGGAAAAGAAGCGGTCTCTCTGGTACCTGTCCCTGGACTTCCCCTCGGGCACGGGGATCAGCGCCGCCCGCTGCTCGGGCGTGGTGAGCGTGCAAAAGATGTCCCACACCATCTCGGGCTGGACGTGCCTAAACGACCCTAGCACGGCGGTGGACGGGTCCAAGGTGAGCGACTGCTTGGCGCGGGCCAGCACGGAGCTGGGGTGCGACAGCGGCCGCAGCGAGATGAGATACTCCTCCGACGCCCGGGGCGCGGCGGCCGTCCGCTTGCGAACGTGCGTGTAGTCGTTGTGCAGCTCCTTGGTGGCGGGGAGCATGAAGCCGTAGCCCAGCAGCAGCTCGGCGTTGGTCTTCATGCTGTAGTTGTTGAAGACCTGCTGGCCCGGCATGTGCGTCTTGCCCACGCGCAGCTCGCAATTTTGGCGCTCGTTGTCCAGGTCCCAGCGGACCTCGGTCGTCATGTCGTGGTTTCCAATGTCAAACAGCGGCAGCAGCACGGAAAAGTCGTCCGTGTCCACGCCCTCGGGCAGCATGCGCCGCTGCTTGTCCGACAGCACCAGGCTCGGCCTGAAGCTGCGGCTCGAGAAGATGCAGTACGCCCACTGGTACAGCTCCGTCGTCAGGGCCTCGTTGAAGGCGCCGCCGTCGGCACCATCCCCGTGCAGGCGCAGCAGCTCCCGCGCCTCCTTGAGGTCCCTCTTGACGTCGTTCCTGATCTTGTCGATGCCGACTTCGACATTTGTCCCCTCGAGCAGCTCGGCCTCGTCGTCGTCCCAGAAGGGCGCCAGCGCCCACTGCGACTTGTTCCCCTGCCCGGGCTGCGGAAGGGCCTGGATGTAGGGATGCCAGAACGACTTGTCGCGCTTGAGATACTCCTTGATCAGAAACAGGCGCCCGACCACGTGGGGGGCCGCCTTGGCGAGGAACTCCTTGTGGAAGGCATCCGGGCAGCAGGTGCCCTGCTCGGACACGGCGTTGAAGTAGGAGAGGGTGAGAGAGGTGGGCAGTTGCACGATGGGCTCGTATGGTTGCACGGGCGACTTGGCGGACGGTTTGACGCGGAACGAGAGGCCGGTCTGGGGGTCCTGATAGACCTCGACCGATGGATGCAGCGTGGCCCCGTGTGAGGTGGCCCATTCGACCAGGGTCGGTATGGTGTCCTGGACGGGCATCGTGCAAAAAGCGACGGGCGTGACGATGGGCGTGCCAAGACTGGGGATGGCTGGCGCTGTTGCGCACGGCGATGGCGGCGATGCGTTCAACAAGTGTAACTGACCCCCGTCCAACACGGCGAAGATGCGCCGTTTTATAAGAGCTGTCGAGGTGAGGTGAGATAAGGGATTCCGCGGGTCGAATCGGTCGGACTGGTTGGACAGGTCTGTTGGTCATCCATCCATTCAAGTCGTGCACGTCGAGGGCATGGGCATCCACAGTGGGACTTTGTCGTTCATGGAATGGAATCTGCACAAGTCGCATGTGGGGCCCGAATCAGATTGATGCCTTGTTTGACGCCATCATGTACTGATGAATTAACAAAATTTGCCAGCTATTAAAAGGAAGCTTGTTTTCCCAATGTGGGTGTATGGAACACTTCGATGGGCGGGAGTAACCGAGGTGAAAATACGTTGCTAATTCCACGAGACAGTCCAATGCAATCTTGTGTCCAGCAACAGACAGAAGGCAGCGCATATCTTATCATGGCGCCAAAGACCGAGTGTAAGAATTTCCACGTCCTCGCCCGACACAAAATATACATACATATACATATTTACGTTCATGCGCTTGTAAAGGTGCTCATGAGAAGGTAAAACACATCAGAAATAACCCGCATGTCCATGCTATTAATCCAAAGGTCCTATCCAACAAGAAATAATGTTCAACGCTATTTCACCACGCAATGCACATCCCCCTCAACTCTCAATCTAGTCCTAATGAAACTCTGCCTCTACCCGCCCATACCTTACCCCGTCAACTTTCAGCTCAAACCCCAAGCCCGCACTATCCACAATCATTTCCAGAGTGAAATCAAGATTATCAAATTCAACGCCTCTGGTTGTAGTCAGACGAGTAAACAGACTTCTTGGAACCGCATTCAAGTCCGTCGTTAGAGTACACACGTTAATCAGGTCTCGCGTATATGCTGCTGGTGGCTCGTCGGCATCGCAGGCTATCAAGTCGTCCGTAACAATTAAGGACTGTCCGGGGCGGAAATTCCGCGTGTAGTGAAATGCAATCGGGGACAGGGGTGACAGAGCCTCGCCCTGCTTTAAGATTAGTTTTTTCTTTCCATCTCCCACTATTACATATCTAGTGTCAAAAAGGGAGCTCACCTTGGCAATGTGCCACTGCATACGGTCTGAAACCATCCAACGTTCCCACAGGGGTGACCAGTATCGTTCGCTGACAGAGTGCTTCTCCTCATCGTATACCGTCGCGTAAGAGGTACCGTAGTGCATTCTTGACTTTCGCGAAATGACCATGTTTCCTTCAAGGCCTCTTAAAACCGCGCCGCGAACAACGGCAGTCCAAGCATACACAGGCTGCATGACTTCTATCGAGCCATTCCCTTCTGTCGCACTAGCATTCGCATGGGTCGGCCGTTCGCTGTACGGAGGAGGTGCTGCGCTTGTGAAATGCGCTTTCAGTCGTCGATATAAGTAGTCACTCTGGCCAAAGCCACCAACAAGGACAATGCCGGAGACAACACCGCCCTTTGCTCGGAGTCCTTCTACTTGGCCTTGTACCAGGTCACATACTTCCTTTACCACTGGATCAAAGATATCCTTGATTTGCTCAGCACTCATAACCATAAAGCCGGAGTCGAGACCGGCTTCTTCATCGTCTGTTAAACCAGGAAAGCTACGTTTTTGTCAGCACGACGGACCGAGATCCCCGACACTCGCCATAGCAGGCCCTGGACAACTTACGGAACGTTAATTTCTTGGTACTCGTCTTCGTTGAAGTTGCGCTTAACAAACTCTTCAAAGTATTTCAACCCCATCTGCCAACTTCTTCCCTTTTTGGTCTTCATCTCATCGAAGCGCGCTTGTCCAAGTCGGTTTCTGACGTGCTCCTCGAACCTGTAGTTGAGAAATGCGCTACCGCACAATCCGCCTGTACCTACAGCAGACTCTTCCACTCGTAGGGGCTTCAGCGACATGATTTTGTACGCAATCAAGCTGAGGATGTTAGTAGTTTGGAGCAAGATTCACAAATGTTGACAAGCACTCACTCAACGGTGCCACCTCCTGCATCGCAAACGATAAAGTTGTCCCCAATATTCAGATGGTTTGGCTGTATGGCTTTCAGCGTATAGACAGCAGCCGCTTCCGGTTCGCTAATCATCTGAATGTCGGAGCGGCTACCCATTCCAGCACGCTCAGCAGCCAACAGCGTCGTATTCTTGGCGGCATCACTCCAAACTGCCGGGCAGGTAAGGACGAACTCAACCTTTGTTGACACCATGAATGACTCGCCATATCGCCGAGTAAGTGTGTCCATGGTGTGCTTGTAGATTTGGGTCAAGTAGTCGCTCACAGCATCAACAACATTCTTGTTGAAGCGTTTTAGTTGTGCTGCGGTGTCTAGGGGGCTGACATAAAAAGGAAGCTTTTGGGAGCGGTCAAGGAACAGCTTGATACACCGTAGACGAGATTCCTCTGGGCGAAATTGGAATCCCCATTTTATTGTTGGGTCTGCTCCGGGAGGAGCATTGGCAGGAAAGTCGTAGGCAACCTCTGTGGGCACCTTGTCGGATGTGATGCCGTTGCCACCGGGCCATGTTTTGATGATTTCGATGTCGTCAGGGGTGGAAGTGTAAACAGCTGCAACTCTGTCTTGTGTCAGTCCCGGAATTATGAAATTTCTGACGGTAGCCGATTGCGTGCAGCCTCTAATAGCAAAAACAAAGCCACAGTTCACGTCACACCACATAGCACCACACTCGTCATCATATCATCAACCAAAACAACGGCCTCGCCTAAACTGTCAAATCTCTCATTTCCTTTTCCCAAGATAGTGAACGCTCACAAGCAGTACTTACCCAGAAAATGTCGTACCAAAATCCACCCCCACAATCAGGCGATCGCTAACAGGCACCGGTTCGCGCTGCTCTCTCACCGGCCCATTGATCGCCTCAGTAGAGCTCGGTGGTGTATAACTAGTAAAGTAATTCCTACTATCCTGGTTCCTTCGACTGGTGGTTGCATTCCGCAGAGGTAGGTTGAGGTTCATGGCGGAGACGTTTGAGGGGTTGGTCGAGGTATTTGACTGCATCGCGGAAATGAGGAGTACAGCAGTCTCCGCTGCTCCAAGAAGGTTGTCTCTTTCTTTCTCCCTTTCGGGCCTATCGTCAGATTTTGATTGTTGTTCGTTTGCGCGCTGCACATAGATGATAATGCCAACCGGTTCCTAACTGTATCCTCACGCCACCTGTTCAAGTATCATGATGGGGCGGCGCAACTGCAACTAGTACTTCGTCTCGCGCAGAGCCGCAACGCAGAGGAACGACGTGCTTTCAAACCTGTCGTCCAAGAACCTTCTCA